TGAGACAAATAAAATGAATTTCAGTAGAGATAAGTGCAAAGTCCTACACTTAGGTACAAAAAATCAAAGGCACAGATATACAATGGGAGGGACTTGGCTTGACAGCAGCACATGTGAAAGGGATCTGGGTGTTCTGGTTGATCACAAGCTAAACATGAGCCTGCAGTGCGATGTGGCTGTGAAGAAAGCTAATGCAATCTTAGGATGCATTAACAGAAGCATTGTGTCCAGATCACGGGAGGTGGCAGTTCCGCTTTATGCTGCTATGGTCAGGTTACTGTGTCGTTTTCTATCCAAGTGGATGCAGCTCAACCGGGTGCATAGCTGGCAGCCCATAAGGAGCTCTGCTGTGCTCTTCCCCATAGCTGAATGGGGTGTGGAGTACTGTGTCGTTTTCTATGATTCTATGACTTTCTGCTTCACAGTAGCCATGACCCTATTGCCTCTGGGAGCGCAAAGACTCTCTACGCCTGGAACTACGGGGAAGGTCCGCACTGGGTCCCAGCTGTCATCCTCTGGGCTACAGGACCCATCTCCTACGAGGTGCAGGACGAGGCAGGGCAAGTCCGCCGCCATCAACCCGGTTGAGCTGCATCCACTTGGACCTTGCACCGGACAGTAGCCATGACCCTATTGCCTCTGGGAGCGCAAAGACTTTCTACGCCTGGAACTACGGGGAAGGTCCGCACTGGGTCCCAGCTGTCATCCTCTGGGCTACAGGACCCATCTCCTACGAGGTGCAGGACGAGGCAGGGCAAGTCCGCCGCCATCATTTGGCCCAATTCCGACGTTGTTGGCCGGCGCGGGAAGAGACCTTGCAATGCACTCCAGCTATTGCAACACACCCCAGTTCCTGGCGAGACTTGCAGCGTACCCCAGTTCCTGGCGTTCTCCTGGCGGGAGAGCACTGTCGGTGCCCGGGAGATGTGTCCTGCCGAGGATCAGCAACTGCCTCCTCCCCCCCCCCCAGGAGACTGACAGTCAACAGGGAGAACCATTTCCTGTCCAAGTGGTCATGCCAGTTCAGCCGCCCTCTCCTGCTGTGCCTGTTTTTCACAGGGAACTGTCTCCTGCTCGGGGCGCCAGGGCGTCCAGGCCACCGGTCAAGCCGGCACCTTGCCAACCGGACTTAAAAACTGTCCCGGATTTGACAGAGCTGACGGGCCCTCGGAACGCACGGACTCTGGCCGTTCTCAGGGCACCCATCGGGGTGGGCATTCTCAGGAAGGTACGCCGCTACCACAAAGGTCCACCCGAACGAGGCGGGTCCCTGCCTACCTTAGGGATTATTATATTTGAACCATGGGGGGAGGAGTGTTATGTCTCTGTTATGTTTAAACTGCAGTATTCTGGTTCTCTCTGTTGGGATT